GATGCATGGTAGTGATGATGACGATGATGATGGATGACTTGCTTATTTCACCATTGACTATCATTGATTACCGTTACTTATTTCACCAGGTCTTGAAGCACAGCTCCTTGGTATTGTTGTCCGTAAAGAACGTCCTGAGCTCGAAGAACAAAAAGACTCTCTGGTCATAAACATCGCTGCAGGCAAGAAGAAACTAGAAGAGCTAGAAGACGAGATTCTAAGGTAATCATCATGATACTATGGTAATCTTCTAGAGAAAAGGAAACAACTATTTCATGCAGTTGTTATAATATTTTAATAGTGTTGTAGATTTTAACGACATCATCATAATACAAGGGGTAATCTTCTAGATGAGAAGACTAACTATTTTTAAATAGTTAAAATGCGGTTGTTATCTATTTAGACTACTCCAGACAGCGCAAGGTTCGTTACTAGATGACGAACAGCTCGTCAATACCCTCAACTCGTCCAAGATCACATCTCAAGAGGTCGGAGAACAACTGACAGTCAGTGAACAAACTGAGGTCAAGATTGATGCAGCCAGAGAGGTACGTTTTTCATCAAAGTTAGAGCAGTTTTCTTATGATAGTGTAAAGCTCACGGCACAAACACGGTCGCGACACGGCAAGGGATACGCCAGACCAATCACACTGCTCGAAAATTTACTCTCCATCCAATCAAATACCCAGAACATGGCATAAAACCGGCGCAGACACGGTCACGCCAAGGTCACGGCACTGTCAGACCAATCACATAGTGCGAAAAAAAACAGCCAATTGAAATCCTATAAAACATCACGGCACGGTACCCTTACGGCACTGAGCTTTTCACAGTCATGCGAAAACTGCACTACGTCTTACTAAAATATGTAGTCATCTCTTGCGCACCCCTGATTTAATTCCTCAAAGAAATGACTATGATTTGTTGATCTCCTAGGGCTATCGTCCTTGTGCACAGCGGTCATCCATCCTGTTCTTCGTGCTCAATGACATGGGTCGTATTGATCCCATGTACCAGTTCTCTCTGGACGCCTACATCGATCTGTTCAACAACTCTATCGAGAAGAGTCAACGAAGTCCTAACCTAGAGATTCGTATCCAGAACCTAAACGAATACCATACTTATTCTGTCTACAAGTAAGTCAGCTTGATCGTTAGTGTACGGTTTGAGATGCGAGGCTAGAGTACCTAGCTCACATTGGAAGTAGGAACCTGTTCTTGTAACTAATTGTGGCCGGTGGTTTTGAAGGAAAACAACTTGTATAAAAACACTACGCCGGCTAAATGAAGGCGAAGCCATACAAGTTAATGTTAGGTCAAGGCAAGGATATACGAATAATTGTAAGAGATGCACTGCAAATCCATTGTTGTGTTGCTGTATTGAAAAACGTTGCGCATGTTATCGATAGGCGTTTTTCAACAAAAACTGTTTCATGAAGTTATTGATATATTGGTATTTAATGAAATATCTCATTATTTCCAGGTATACCTGTCGTGGTTTGTTCGAGAGGCACAAGTTGCTGTTCTCATTCCAGATGTGCTCCAAGATACTAGAAGCTGCAGGAAAACTCAACATGGATGAGTACGGCTTCTTCCTACGTGGAGGAGTAGTAAGTGCACGTCTTGCAAACCCCGAGTATGACAGCCCAGAGGTTGTTTCAGGGTGCGATCTGTGATTCAGCCACGCCCTGACTTAGATCAGCCCAGAGATTGTTTCATGGTTCGATCTGTGATTTAGTGACTTAGATCAGCCCAGAACTTGTTTCAGGGTTTGATCTGTAAGTTAGCCATGCCCTAACTTAGATTATGATATATCTACGATATATCTACGATATAACGCGCGCTCTGATTGGCTAAAAAACCCGTGTACTATTCCCCCATGGGTACACGCTTACGTCCAACTGACGTGCGCTTTTTCTTTTCAATCCTTTTTCCCCCTATTTTTTCCGGGTAAAATGAGCGATTTTCCATGTTTTGAAATGGATTTCAGGCTCGAGCCTAGTACAAAGAAGCAAAAGCCATGCTCTGACTTAGATCAGCCCAGAGGTTGTTTCAAGGTTTGATCTGTGATTCAGCCACGCCCTGACTTAGATCAGCCCAGAGGTTGTTTCAGGGTTTGATCTGTAATTCAGCCATGCCCTGACTTAGATCAGCCCAGACGTTGTTTCAGTTATCATACGTAACTATTTCTTTTACCTTCAGGTTCTTGACCGTGAGGGGCAGATGGATAACCCTTGTACTCAGTGGCTGTCTGAAACATCTTGGGATAACATCACGGAACTCGATAAGTAAGCACCCTTTTGATATAAAAATATCCTCATCATTACGATCATTACCAAGATTATTTTTCACTATCATCATCGTTATCATCTAAATCATCGACATCATTTTCATTATCATCATTATCTTAGGGTTTGATGAGAAATCTTGGTGTATCATCATCATCGTCGTCGCCGTCGTCATGGGCTTAAAGTCATGCGGCAGCCATGTTTATTCTCATGAGAATAAAAAACCTTGCTTAATCCGCATGAATAATATTTTTTTATTGTATGAACTTTACAGCCAAGAGAGCATAGACACAAATGATACATGAACAAAACACAAGCCTACAATAGCACAAACAAATAAACAAACAAACAAATATAAACAAACAAACAAAMAAATATACTACACTCTGCGACACTGGTTGAAGGACTGACCAACAGGACACCGGGTCTCATACAAAGGTCAACCAAAAAAAAGAAACATTCTGAAATATTCTCGAATGCGTGGGAAAATCCATTGTTCCCGTCAACATGGCTGCCGCGTGCGCAAGGTACATTGTGATTGTTTTCTCACATTTTTATTCCTTCCTTTTCAGGCTTCCAAACTTCCATGGTATTGTGACGTCATTTGAACAGTACCCACGTGATTGGCACCAATGGTACACTAGCGCAGAACCAGAAAACACCCCCTTACCTGGTATGATCAAACCACATACAACACCGGTCTGAAACACCTCAGTTTCTACCTTGCTATTTACCTTCAACATCAGATTAGGCACTGAAAGTACCCCTCTGTTGTCAGGTTGTGAGAAACGGAAGCGAATAGTTTGGTCTTCAGTGACGACGCAAACACACAAAGCCAAGCGCAAGCAGATTAAAAGCTTTTCATCCATGCATTTTTCAGTTGCGCAAGTAGTTAAGCGGCCAACCAAGATTCATTTTTGTTTTAGACGCATCAAATTACGAATTTCCTTTTAAGGAGTTGATTTATGACTAGACTCTTAATTGACGAGAAATATGGATGAAATATTATAAAACTAACTCGCGCACTTGATATTCCACATTGGCTAATCCCATTCATTTTGTTTCATTCCCATAAAGGTGAATGGGAGAACGCATGTAACGAGTTACAGAGAATGCTAGTGGTTCGATCCCTCAGGGCTGACAGAGTGTCATTCACTGCTACCTCCTTCATTGTCAATAATCTTGGATCAAAGTAAGTACCATCCCACCTCTCTCTTTGACTTTATCATCTCTTCTGTCATATTACTCACTCCCTCGCTCATGGACTCGCTCGTTTGCGACATAACATGAAAACTCATGAGTAAAAACGATATCAAGAACATAACAAGAAATAATTTGCTTATGACATATTTAGGGTCGATACAATAACAACATTTTTATACATACAGCGATATCGTAACCCTTCACTGATATGGTTTTTATCCGCCACTTTCACATGGATAACGACCCTAAATGTGTAATATATCTTAATAATCCATGGTTATTTTTTTCTCTAGGTTTGTAGAACCTCCTGTGCTAGATATGTCTTCAGTGGTTGAAGATTCGTCCACTAAGACGCCGTTGATATTCGTCTTGTCTCCAGGCGTGGTAAGGAGTATATATTACCCCTCCCCCACCACCATCATCCCCCTCCCCCCACCCCCCCTCACCACCACCACTACCACCCTCCCCCGGAACGAAAATCATTTTGGAGCCACTTTCGTTCTGGATTCCCTCACGAAGAGCGAGTCTTTTAATGTCTTTATTAATCCTGACCGCATTCTGTACAGGACCCTACCAGTGCACTTTTGCAGCTCGCGGAGAACTGTGGTATGTCGAGCCGTTTTCATGCGCTATCCCTTGGACAGGGCCAAGCTCCTATCGCCACCAGGATGATCAAAGAGGGAGTCAAAGACGTAAGTCATTGCTCTCATTCAGTATTCGTTCCTGATTGCGCGCAAGTGTTTGTCTGTGCCTGTAGGAGTTCTTGTGGAGTATAAGTTTATTACTCTCCTTCAATGTCCATTGGGCAATCGTTCCTGATGCGCGCGAGTGTGTGTCTGTTCCTTATTGTGCGCAAGTGTTTGTCTGTGCCTGTAGGAGTTCTTGTGGAGTATGAGTTCCTTACTCTCGTTAAATGTCCATTGGGCAATCGTCCCTGATGCGCGCAAGTGTGTCTTTTCCTTATTGCGCGCAAGTGTGTCTTTTCCTTATTGCGCGCAAGTGTTTGCCTGTACCTGTAGGAGTTCTTGCGTAGTATAAGCTCATTACTCTCATTTAATGCCCATTGTCTATTGTTCTTCCCCACAGGGTAATTGGGTCTTCCTGGCCAACTGTCACTTGTCCCTCAGTTGGATGCCTCAACTTGATAAGCTGGTAGAACAGCTCCAGGTAGAAGATCCTCATCCAGACTTCAGACTGTGGCTGAGCAGTAGTCCTAACCCAGACTTCCCCATCTCTATTTTACAAGTGGGCATCAAGATGACTACAGAACCGCCTAAGGTAATGAATGCGTGTGGGAATCGCGAAGGAATGAGAGAGGAGGATAATGGTAGTGCACTCACCTCTCACTTCTGGGGGTCTGGTTCAATTTATGGACTCGACATCACATATAAGTAGAGTTTGTTGGGTCTCTCCCTTGAATCGAGGGTTTTTTCTGTTTTTTCTCCTTCTGCAAAACCTAACACGCTAAATTCCAGTAGCCGGGGGCTATTTTTTATAAGGAGAGAATCAAAAAGAAAAAATAAATAAATCAATAAAATAAATGGGAAAGAGAACGGGAACGAGAACGGGAATGGGAACGAGAACGAGTACGATAAAGAGAAAGAGAAAGAGAAAGAAAAGGAGAAATAAAAGGTTATAGAATAGAATTTTTGAAGTTGAGAAAACTTGAACACCGAATCATTCCAAATTTCTAACATATGATTGTAATTTTGTCGTGTTTTTATCTACCAGGGTCTGAAGGCGAACATGAAACGTCTATACCAGTTGATCACTGAGCAACAGTTCGCACGCTGTCACAAACAAGACAAATACAAGAAAATGCTGTTCGCCTTGTGCTTCTTCCATAGCGTCCTGCTCGAGAGAAGAAAGTTCCTTATGCTGGGCTGGAACATTGTTTATGGCTTCAATGATTCTGACTTTGAGGTGGGTTGAAAAACTGGGTTGTTCTGGCTTAGAATCTAATAAGTGTCGAGCAGAAAAGATGCATGGTTGAGGAGTGGAAGAAGATAAGTTTCTTTAGAAGCCGTTTTTAGTGTAGTTACATTCTCCTACGGTCCATTAGGGAAGTGCACCGTAGGGAAATGGAATTAGACTAAAAACGTCTGTTAGGGAGACTAGAAGGAAAAGAAAGAAAAAAGGAGGGGGGACGGAAAAGAAGACAGATAAAGGAAAGGGAAAATAGAGGGAAAAGGTCATAATAGGAACACCTAAAATTACTTGGGCTTCATCTTTCCGATAATAAGGTCACTGCACTTGAAAGCATTGTATTCCTCTAAGTATATTTATTTACTTTGGAATATCTTGACAACTAGACTTAATAATTTTATTTAAAGGTATCAGAGAATCTTCTTAGCATTTACCTGGATGAATACGAAGAAACACCCTGGGATGCCCTCAAGTACCTGGTAAGCACGTTGGTCTCTACCAAGGCTTACTCTTACCCTGCCAGCAGAGTCTCCCTTTAATTGCACCCGAGTGGAAGAAAGCGATTCTGCTCACAGGGTAGCTTACCCTTTGACACACTTTACAAAATTCATGGCGCGATATTTTAATTAATAAATATTTAATATCATTCATTCTACTTATAATGATGGTTCTTGGTTGGTTTGTCAGATTGCTGGGGTGAATTATGGTGGTCACGTGACAGATGACTGGGATCGTCGTCTCCTTCACTCATACATCAATGAATCATTCTGCGACACAGCTCTTCAAACACCCTACTACAGGTAACAATCTGGATCAACATTTATGCAGTTTATTGTTTTCAAAACTCGGGGAAGATACCTTGTTCCCAACCATACCCCACTCAACTCCTCAACTCTACTGTCCCCTTTTCATCCATCCCCACCCCTCCCTTACCTATTTCCAATCCATTTCCACCCCTCCCTTACTTATTTCTCATCCATTCCCACCCCTCCCTTACCTATTTCCCATCCATCCCCACCCCTCCCTTACCTATTTCCCATCCACATCCATCCCTCCCATTCCTATTCCTGTTCAACCTAAACCCTACTTTCCAATTCTTCCCATCAACCTCCTGCTTCTCTCACATACCTCTAAATGCGAGCTCAGAACGGTGTAGGATCTTTGCACTTCGTAATTGAGCTTTTGACTTAACAGAGCCAAACCATTTTTCTATATATAATTTGATTAGAACAAATATTTGATCTCCTTATCCATCCATCTACCTCTAGACTGTCTTCCTTATCTACGTACTACATACCAAAGGATGGCCCTCTTTCATCATACAGGGTATGTATACTGCCATATATGGCGCTCCATAATCAATACTTAAAATAGACCCATGCTTACGTGAGTCCCATACTGATATTCTAGGAATACATCAGCATGTTGCCAAACGTGGACCACCCTGAAACATTTGGACAGCACCCTAATGCAGACATCGCCAGTCAGATCATCGAAACAAGGTAAGGCGATTTATCACTCCATGGTGGACAGTAAGCCTAACAGGTTTTGCAACCCACATGAAAAGACTACCGATAGAACGAATTAGAATTTAGAAGTTGATTTTTGAGGAGGGAGGACAAACCGTGGAGCAACCCTCGCCGGGGCTAGGAGAAAGCCAATGAATAATCCTACTAAAATACAACGTATTTTAACATTTTTAATGAGTTGTATTTTGATACTTAAAAGGACATTGACCATAAAAAGAGGCTTTTACATTGCGATGTGGAATGATTTATAAACACGACAGTCCTAAAACATTTGGTAGATAAATCAGCCCTGAAGGGGTACGCTCTTCAAACGCCCCGCTGACCTACGGATCCCGTAATCCAAGGTCTTTTTTCATCACATAGCATATAGTTCTAATAGAGCAGATTTTGTAAGACCCAACTGCTAATTTTTACGGAAGGAGAAAGGCAAAGAATACAGAGGAAAAACCCACGTAAAAAGGCACCAACAAACTATATTCGCATTCGTTTAGTAGAAATCAAACCAGCAACCCGAAGTATGGGACCTGTAACGCCACCCTGCCACTCCATTAGCGACTTTGAGGTGAAGACGACGTCAACCGGAAGTGTAATTAACTTTGCTTTGGGGTTTCGCGCCTTCAAAGTCTGTCTTCCCTGTGGATGAGTTGATTGAATGAAATCTCCAATGAACAGGACCCCAAAGAGAAATTAATTTACACTTACGGTTGACGTCGCCGTTGTATTGGATTTTGTACTTACCTGATTAGCGCCCTGGTATGGAAAAGACGGCATCCGCTCAAACGACCTTACACAAGACTAGAATCTAATCGGAATAATGATCCGTAGCTCAGTCAGGGCACAGGACGCCCGTACCGTAACCGATCCGCAGTCTAGCGGCGGTATTTGTTCTAATTATCGATTGTCGTTTTTCATTTCAGAACTCTCTCAGATACGCTGCTGTCATTACAGCCACAGGTTGTAGCAGGAGCCCAGGGAGAGAGCAAAGAAGAGAAGGTATTGACAAACTTTAGCCTGAATGACAAAAAATTCTCGCTCACGTTAATGTAACGCAACGTTATGTAATAACGTATTTACGAAATATTTTGTCGCTCATTAGAGAGCATTAAAAAAACGCACATTTTGAATTTCTGTGAATACTCAAGGTGGAACACGAGCATTTTTCAATACTCATCATAAATCCTAAAATGTTTTTTTTTTTGGATGATTGTCTTTTCTTTTTTTTTTTAGGTTYTTGAATTGGCAGCTGATGTGCTGAAAAAGGTTCCTGAAGAGATCGATTACGAACAAACAGCAAAGATCCTGGCTGATGATCCCTCACCCCTTAATGTTGTACTGCTACAGGAGGTACAGCGAAAATACTCTCTCTTTTATCTATCTTCCTTTTCATCTCTTTTAAATGAGAATAACTTTTCTTTGTCAGATTGAACGCTTCAACATGTTGCTCCGAGTCATCAAAAGATCACTGATTGACCTGGAGAGAGGCATCAAGGGTCTAGTAGTTATGTCGTCTGATCTAGAAGAAACCTTCAACTGTATCTATGATGCAAGGGTGCCACCTCTATGGGGGAAGGTAACTGACCACGCCCATACAATGCTATCATAATTCAAGTCTATTCATATTTCATCTTATAACCCATACCCTCATTTTGTATTCCAGGCATATCCATCTAACAAGCCCTTGGCTGCCTGGACTCGTGACCTGGTACAAAGAGTTGAACAGTTTGACAAGTGGGCTACTACAGCACATCAGCCAATCATATTCTGGCTTTCAGCTTTTACGTTTCCAACGGGCTTCCTTACCGCAGTATTACAAACATGTGCCAGGCAGAACAACATATCTGTGGATACTCTGTCTTGGGAGTTTGTGGTAGCTACTGTTGACGACAGTAACATTACTCAACAGCCGAAGGTTAGTTTCTTTTCATACCAGCACTCAGTGTGGAATTGAGATGGATTAACGTGGGGAGGGTGGTTGATGAAAGCCAAATGGTAGCAGTGCTAGATATCACTTAGAGGGAAAGGATCGTCAAGGCATGCTAAAATTAAGTTGAGAGGGGAGGGGTACCACATGGAGGGGAGTGACAGATGTGTCTCTTCTGGGGAGGGATGTTTTTGGTGTGACAGAACCAAATAGATTAAGGGGCTGGCTAAGTGGTAGTGGCAGGTCTAGAGGAGTGGTTCATGAAAAGACAAACTGAGAGTAGTTGTAGATACCAGTATTATAGTGAGTTTATATCCAAATTTAACTGGAGGGAGAAGTGTACAAAATAGATATTTAAAGGTGAAAGTTGATAATGTATGGGGGAGGGGTAGTGCATTTCTGACAAATACAACACAGCATCATTGACAATAAGATTTTCTTTCCTCCTTTTGGTCTTAATAGGATGGTGTGTGGGTAAAGGGGTTGTATTTAGAGGGAGCAGGCTGGGACAAGAAAAATGCATGTCTGACAGAAGCAAGTCCTATGATGCTTGTTACTCCAATGCCTACCATTCACTTCAAGCCTGTTGAAAACAAGAAAAAGACTGGAAAAGGTAGAGTATATCTAATGCTAGGTTCACATTAGCAACACAAATGCAAATGCAAGCAATATTCATATGTGAAACGCAAACAATATAAGTAAGCATATGCAGAAGACTTTGTTTACATCGAGAACATTTTTGGTCAAACACACTCACACCTCTTTTCTCTCTCCCTATATGTGCTTCTCTGCCATATATTTTTCAACACAGTACTTGAATATGGAGTAGCCTGCGAAGAAGTCTAGTTTCATTCCTTGTATTTGCATTTGCATTACTGTAGTTCACATGTAATCTTGCTTGTGCTGGTGTTTGCATTTGTGATGCTTGTATGTACATCATGTAGGCTTGCTTTTCAGCTGTGGTTTCATCTTCAGAGCTACGAGCGGGGAATAAACATGGCAAGAACTAAGAGTAATAATTTGAAATACATGTCAAGTACCAGGTTATTGATGGCCTTTTTCTCTGTTTTTAGGGATGTACACATGTCCATGCTATTACTACCCTAACCGTTCTGGTACATCAGACCGTGCATCATTTGTGGTTGCTATCGACATCAAGGCCGGTGCTATGACAGCTGATCACTGGATCAAAAGAGGAACTGCATTGCTCATGAGTCTGGATTATTAAATTTCAGCAGTACCCTGTAATACTAGACATTTTACCTACATTTAAATGTTTTTGAAAACAAGTCAACATTATGCTAACTTGATCTTGAGCATCAGATATTTAGAAATTTTAGCCAAAAAAAAAAAAAAGCTGCAATGTTTTTGCCTTCATCAATGAAAAAACTTGGTCATTTCCATTGGGAATTCAAAGTATTCATTATTGTAAATTAGGTTTGACCACAACTGTAAATTGGTATTTAATCCATTAATGGAAAAGTATTGAGAGTGTGATAGTTTTTATACTCTGATAGAATAATAGATGAAACAAGTTTTGAAGTCAGTGAATATTAATTTATATGAATAAAGAGTGAGACTATTTTGTATGTGCCGTTTATTGCCATGTGGGACTATTCTGACTGCACAAGACCAGGCACATTCCCAAGAGAATGTTTTCCTTGTGGCTTCCATCAATAAATGAAGAGCAGCCCTCTGATTAAATCCAACTGAGCCATACCCCTACCACTATTTCTGGTTCCAATTACTTCGTTGCACAGCTTTCCATCATTGCATTAAGTTATCAGAGTACAGTTGGATTCTCTCAGAGCCATTGTTTCTTGGCAGAGACCAAAAGAAATGAAGGTTGAGTGTGACTATATGACAATGTTTCTGAAACTGTATAACTGCAGGGCTTTCAGAATAAGCTGGTGGCTGCTAGATCTCCAGTGAAWGCTTCAAAGTTAACCGCCGGCTACTTTTTCTTTTCTATAAAATACCTTCTGTTCCTTGTATCAGATCACAGCCAGCTACTTCAGACTTATGACCAACTACTCCAAAACATTCTGAAAGCTCAACTATAGAAGTAATGTCAACAAGCCCTGCTGATCTATCAATATAAATACTTCATGACAATTATATATACTCTCAAGAATATTTTATTTACAAAATATAACAAATTAGAACACCAAGATTGACCAATGATATCAATGATCCACTCCTGACTTTGCTTGAAACACTTTATCTTGGAAGATTAGCATTATTATAGCCCCTGTAAAGTGAATATACAAAGAATATCAAAACTGTCACTTTTCCACTAGGTATATTGTCTTTCTAGATTAGCCCAAATTATTTCCTTGAGAATAAGATTCTTTGGTTGACTCTTATCCATGTTCATGCATGTGTCATCAAGTGTTACTGGTAAACAAAGAAATGATACTAAAGGGAAATCTGTAGTCAGAAACTCTGAACATAGTGAAGGATGGTGGCAGTTTCAATCATGCTATGTTCTCTGACAAAGGGACACTTGAAACAATCAGGGCACTAGTAGAGAGATAGCTAATCCCAGTACCCCAACCCTAAGCCTTGGAATGAATTTCTGCTGGGTGCATTCTTTAGATGCATATTACGTTACAGCCATCATGTTGGTTGACGATGACAAAGCATTCCTCATTAGCTTCTCTTGCTAGATCAACCAACATGGTGGCTGTTTCATTGGTATCCTCCTATTCTTGGGGTGTATGTTACATCATAGGCGCCATGTTGGTTGACAATGACAAAGCATTGCTCATTAGCTTCTCTTGTTTGATCGACCAAGATGGCGGCTGTTTCATTATTATTTGTATCTTTAGGGCTTTTGAGTCATGTGGTTGCACCCCAAGAATAGAAGGAAGTATGGTATGCCATGCTCCTGCATGACAGATTAACTTGCCTTTTGAATGTATTTATTGCCTGTAATCTTCTCATCTCGATCCATCAATCTCTTTCTAAACTCATCCATATTGTATCTGCGTGGCTGTTGAATGCAACGATAAGAATCTATTCAGGTACGTTAACGATTATAGCCCACAATTCAGGCTAAGGAGTCAAGCTCAAAGTATATAAAAACGCTAACAATCGTTCAAATTCTGATTTGCAAGCCTAAGCTTTAATATATTCTCACACCTCTTCTTGGACTAAAGCTAGTAGAGATCGCGTCTGGTTCATAAACATGAACTTACCTTTCCTTTATGAAACGCTTTGTCCAATACCTTCATTCCTAAACCTGTTGCAGTAATACAACCAGCCATTATAGCAAATGGTGGTATAATTTCCCACCACATTTTCTAGCTTTAAACCAGGCTAAAATATCCAAGAAACGTCTGCACAAAATCTTATTTTCCAAGATGGCGTCCAAGATGGTTGTCGATTACCCAGAATGCACTTCAAGGTCAATTTATCCACAGGCATCCCACAGGTGAAATTCTAAATGTCATCCATTATTTTATTTTTCAATCAAGATAAGAATAAAATCATCAAGAATAAAATTATCTACAATAAAGCAAAGATACGTACTTTTAAGTTTTATAATTTGGGCATTCTTTGAGATTTTTACAAAGCTTTTCTAAATGAGATGTTGGGTTGCCTGTGTTGTACCCACAAGGCCCGGCCAAGCAGATAATATTATTATAGCTGTATTTGCAGTCAATATGAGTATTAACCTTCTCTTCAGGACTTCTGCTTCTCTTCGTCTGAGGATTTCTCTCGCCAACGCCGCCGCCATGAAGGCCAATCAGTTTGTTAGAAGTTTTTCATTTTTCACCCTCGTAACTCTCAATCGGATCTGGAATGTAGATGCCGTGAATTGTACAGAAATGAATACAAAACAGAGGTTCACTCATATGCTTGGTGTGACTGAACAAGGCCAATGTGCTTGTCCAAAACGATTGATCACTACAAAGATTACACCAGAACCACCTAAAGACCCAACTACGGTTAATATAGAAGAGCTTAAAGCCATGATTGCTGCTGGTAGCATACAGCTTTTCGATGTCCGTGAACCTTATGAGCTTCAAGAATCGGGCAAAATAGAAAGAGCTATCAATATACCTCGTAAGTTAATGTAAATCGTTGTTTACTCCCGGGTTTAGACGCGTTCTTCTGGCTTGTGTAGAGATTCAACACCTTCGCTTTGTTTAGCATTGTTTTTCTATAAGCGCTTAACACCTCAAATAAAAAATGACAAAATAAATCATCCATCATATGTAATGTTACCAAAACAATATTATAAAGTTAGTGGAACTTCTTTTATTTCCATCCATCCATTCTCTTCAGCTCTCCGCCATTTTTGCTCAAATCCGGGGTTGTTTGTTTTTTTGGTTTTTATTTTAGCACCTTTAGGGTAGGATTATTTGATCATTTTTATTTTGATCTCTTTTAAAAAATATTTCAAAAACTACTTAAATACATTAAAAGGAATATTTTTTTAATTTTCTTTTTTGATTAATTCATTTAATTTTATCTTTAAATTCCAGTGAAGCAAGTACCAGAAGCTTTCGCATTAACTCCTAAAGAATTCAGAGCAAAATACAAAGTTAAAAAACCCAAACAAAAGGATGAAAATATTGTTTTCCATTGCAAAGCTGGAATCAGAAGCAAGATGGCACTAAATGCAGTTTATCGTCTAGGATACAGAAAGTAAGCAAATGAAAAGCATTTCATTTTCAATTCATTTTTCCCTGATTCATAATTTATGATTTTGCATTGGTTAACTTCAAAGTAGGGGCACAGAGTTGAACCAGGGAGGGGTGTGCACCCCCTGCACCCCTCCCTTGGATCTGCCACTCAACATGATGTAACATTCTGGGCATATTTTAGGTGTTTACGGTTTTCTTAGTTTGGCTGAACCATAGAAAGTATCAATATTAACAGAGTGTTTGTATAAGCATATTAATTTTAGAGTTATTGTATATTACCGCAATGAAAATTGTCTTTAAGGCATCCATGTTTATAATGGGTATCCATGTCCAATTATTAGGTAGAATTTCAACTGTATATGAAAGTTTTTTATGTAGATTGTTGACCTTGGCATTCCTGTCAGTTGATGCTCTTTCATGCCCTAGAAAGCATGGCAATGCCAAAGACAGCAGAACACATTAAAAAYCATTTTGAAGGTGCACTCGCATCATTCCCACATCACCAACCTCAATGCTTAAGGTCATTATTGTTAGGCCAGTAGTTCTAGTTTTTGATCATTTCAGGACATTTCCTTTATGCACCTTAAGAATGAAATTTATAAATAGTTTATCTTATATTTTGCATCAGTATTACATCCTTGTGTTTATATTTTTAGGAGTCGACATTACCCTGGTGGATTTGATGAGTGGGAAACCTGTCTCAAGAGAGTTGGCCAATAACAAAAACAACAATCACAAAGGATTTAGCAAAAGCGTGAAGTTCTTATTTAATCTGTAATAATTGACCTTTTCTGCGCTTGCCATCACATAGTATAAATGGTGTTGCATTGTGTTACAGTCACCAAAAAGTTTGGACATTACTCTCAGATTTCCTTATGAGTGTACTGACTTGACAAATAATTTACTTAGTTTGTTTAGCTAGCTTTCTAGATACAATCAAAATATCATTTTTCTAACTTGATTGAAGCTTTTTTTGCTGCTGTTTAGAGAGCTAACTAAAGAAATCAACCTGAATTTTCTTTTAAAAGTCAGTGAATTTGTATGGAAATCGGAGAACAATGTCCGAACTTCTTGACAAGTGACAGCTAGTGCCGAAAAGGTGAATTAATAATGGAATGATTTTTAATGAAAATATCCAGTGTATTGGTTATAATATATTTCTGTGTTCGTCTACACATCTGTCTAGGTATTCAAATCCCAGTCATTTTCCCAATTATTTGATTACGTATGCAGCCTTTAAAGTCGTAAAATTCACAATCAATATATTAGTTTTCCAAAGACCTTTGGATAAAATAAGAATGAAGAGATAATTTTTGTTTTTGAGATATTTTTGCTGGCAGGCTGGTTGCTACACAATTAGTAATATAATGTAACATAAATTTATCCCAAAATTTGCACTTGTACATTTTTGAATAAAAACAAGCTATATTTTCAAAATTGTTAAAAGCTTTGTTTATACTAGCACATAATTGTTTTTCAACTGTAAATAACATATAAGAGTAGAGTGATTTCCTCGAACTGAAAAATAGTGTAGATCTTTTTTTATGGTATCATTTCTTTTGTGTGTATTTGAGAAACTGTTTAAGTTCTGAGGAAAATTGATCTAAACATAAAGCCTATTGTTGCAAATTATCTAATACGAGAGCACATGCCATTTTTTGATCAAACAATATCACAAAATTGTGAAGCATGTATAAAATTTGTCAGGTGAAAGAAATAATATTGCAGGACATGCCAATCAGAAAATGGGAATTCAAAAAGATGTATTTATGCTCTTACTGCAATTTTTTTCTTTCACAGGCTGAGTAAAATTACTCTAGTAGAACAATAGAGATTAACAAATCTTTATTTCATTGTTTTCTTTTGTATAAAAGGTTTAGTGCGATTTTCGATATTCTGCCATCAATTAAAAATAATCAGTCAGTACCTTTTATGTTCTTGACTGGCAGCAGTGAAAAACCAAGTTTACAATATACACGTTTGGATCAGTGAGTTGGCTTTTCTATCAAACTTTTTCAGTCAGACATCACGAAGGAAAGTTCCGAAAGCGATTGCAAAGAGTTTGAGTACATCCAAGTAGAATGAGGTGTTTGATTGACGGCAGTCAATTGCAAACTACACGACGCAATTTGTGTCTGGGGTGGCCGCGTAGTAATGCAAACGGGGGTAACGCAAAATTTTGTGTCTAAGCGCACGTTTGCATAGTCATACGTGACATAATACTGTTAATTCATGATGACCACTCGAAAATCAGCCAATCAGAAGATCCCAAAACGAAGTACTAGTACTAGATACTAAGGGGTATATAACAGATGTAGCTAAGCAATAAATACTCGCACAACTTCATTATTAAAACGATCTAAAGATGGCACTACGACGAGTTTTAGGTCTAAACTATTCCATTATTCTAAACCCTCGTTTAATTTGTTCGAAATTTCAACCATCTCCTTTGATTCACAAAGATTTGTTACCACGACTCGGTATAGTAGTACCATCATTTTCAACCAAGTCGTGTTATGACACCGAAGTCGTCACTTTTCCATGTTTGAAAAAACTCCTTGATGAAACCAATATACAGCTGTTTGATGTGAGAACACGCGAAGAAGTAGAAGCAGGAAGAATACCTGGAGCGACTAATATACCCCGTACGTCTTTTCGCACGCTACTTTATTATCTACTACTTGATCGATGCAAAATCGCGGGCGACGGCGTTTTGAATACATCGTAATAATTTCCTTATTTTTAATTAAAAAACTTCGTTTTTCAGTCGATGAGATTCAAGAAGCATTTAATTTGTCACCCGAAGACTTCGAAGCGAAGTATAGCGTATCGAAACCAGCTTTAGAAGATGAAAATATTACATTCCACTGTAGAACCRGTAAACGAGCACAAGAGGCTATCCAGATACTACAGGGAATGGGCTTTGGAAGGTATTGGCATAAATTAATCCACTATTAATGTATGACGTAATTGGTATTGTATGACATATTCCGCATTCATTTTAAAAATTCCTTCTTTAACTCATGAATAAATTAATTTTTAGTGTAGAGGGGTTCTCAGTTTGTTCTCAACCTGTCCATGTACTAATTTGCTATGGGGGGAGGCTCCAGCAAGGCAAACTTTAGGAATTGGAGAAATGGGTGGACAGAAAACTTCAGCATTAGGGAAACCTCTACGAATAGGAAGAAGGGAGGGGGGGGGGTGGGGGGCAGAAAACTTTGGCATTAGACTAACCTCTATGACTAACCAAAATAAAAGAGGGGGGCAGCAGCAATTTGGCCCACTCTTTTATCCACCCATGAAAATCGATGTCATAGAATAGTTTTATGATAAATATTGTTTGTTTGTAAATTTAATAAACTATATCGGGTATGCTTGTCATATCTCTTAGGGGTAAAAATCGGTGATTTGGTATATTTTAGGGTGTTAAAATTGATTTTTAGAATTTTTTGATAAAAAATCATCCAACTATTTCCCTTTTAAAAGATTCCATTATCTTTTAGGGGTATTTTTGAACAATCAGATACTTTTACCCCAGGGTCCACCCCCACCCCCTCCCCCTTTTGCCAAATTCTTGGTTCCTTCCTTACCCATTATTCCTTCTAATTATTATTGCAGGACTCATAATTATACAGGAGGATGGGTAGAATGGCAAAAAGCTATGCAAGAGGACATGGCTGATGCTATGCATGCTGCTGCTGAATATGCTACTGCTACCAATTGAACAATGTATTGATATTAATCATAGATATATATGACTTAGCAAAAACAATGCTAATATTTAAATCGAATTCTGAACTCGCAGTGAAACCAACAATAGTGGTTCTTACACTGAGATCATCTAAAGTCATAAAATGTTGGGTTTGTCTTACTGGTACCAATACATTATGCTGTTTATTCTGCTTGCCCATATTTTAACAGCAGTAATTATTGGGAATTCTATTCGTTTTTATGAGAATTATAAGAATTGGGAATTCTTTCAAGTTAATTTTACTCTGAAAGTTAATTGATATTTTGTCAAAATGTTCAGCCTGCCTTTAAATGATATTATATTGAGTGCAATATTTATATATATAAATATGAGATAGTTATTTTATTTTATTTTTCTTGTCTTTTGCTTAATATTTTTGCAGCAAAGGAAAGAGCATAACACTATGTTTATTTATGTCTGTAAACAATTTCTACAAGATTTGCCCTACTTCATACCCGCACTATTGCTTTTATTTTATATGACTATTTTTTGTCTATATTTGGTTGTCATAAAATACGTTGATGCAACATCGGTTGCCTAGTTGTCTGTCATTGCAAAGACGTCCTGTATCAGAGCACTCCCCAGGGGATGGCTTGAGGTTAATCTAACTAAACATAACTGGTGAGACACGATTTTAATTTACATCCCTTTACGATTGGAAGACTCATTCATATTTTCCAACAAATATTAAAATATTTTTATACTGTCTAGTAACTAATATCTTTACATTATAAATGGAAAGCTTTATTAGGTGTAAGGTGAAACGGAAAGCGAAAGAGATCAGAGCTCGTTCAAGATTGACTCAAGATCAAACAAGGAAATTGAGCAACGACCGTTTTAAATAGGATACCAAAGAGTAATCAATATAAAAAAATATTAACAATTTCTTAAAAATGGTACCCAGATCCATAGCACACATTTTTCCGTTTCTTTGGAGACGGTACTTGAAAGAGAGGGCTAAAAAATTCCTTTCGATTACAGATGTTTTTTCAACGCAAATAGCCACGAAATATTTCATTTAACATCCAATTCCTTTCACAGAAGAAGTATAGTTTGCTCTTTAAGTAATGACTTTAGATCTAAACAAGAAAAACCCCTGGTTTCAAAGCCAATCTTCTCTCTATCCGCCACGTTGCGTAGAACAAAGAAAAATAAAAATATATATACCAACATGAGCGCATGCGTAGAATAATCGAAAGCCTAAATATATCTTCTCAGGGGGAGGGTAGAGTGTAGTGAATTTATTTCTTTGTTCTCCCCTGTGCCTCCCAGAGGGTAAGGTTTTGCTCGGATGCATGATGGGGTCGATGTCAAGTCACGTGGTATGTAGTGCATCGTGGAGGCGTAGAAAAGTTAGCTGCGCCCCAAAGCAGCTCGAGATAGGGCGCCATTATGAAGCGGGAAAGAACATGCTCTCGTTCTCGCAAACCAAACCGTTTCAAATCAAAGTAACCACCCAAAACAACACATAACCCTTCGCCAAACACAATGGTGAACTTAGTTTTTGTTGTCGATACCTCTGCTTCTATGAATCAGAGAACTTCCCTCGGTACGACTTTGCTAGATGTCGCCAAAAATGCCGTGGAAACTTTTATTAAGGTAAAGAAAAATCGATTCTGTGGGTTCGGACCGGTAAATGAAAGATGAATGAAGGTATTTATGGGGTAATTTTTGTTTCATACAGATTCGACAACGAGATCAGGCGAGTCGAACTGATCGTTTAATGCTGGTGACGTTAGATGAACCGCCTCGCTCCGTCAAGGTGAGGCTGAGAGAGACACATTGTTTGAACTTCGATGCGAGGCAATTTTGCCCCAAAAATATCTTTTTGAGGCCAAGATCTCATGCATAGCAGCAACTCTTTCACAGATTTGCCCTAATTTCGGTAGTTTTGCTAAATTTACGGAACTTTTATCTTGTTTGAAACGCAAACCTTGCATTTCGTACCTTTGTTTCGTCATGTAAAATACCCGCTAAGAATCATGGTCTGTGTTATGAGAATGATAGTTCCGTGATATAACATGAGTTTTCATTGGTGAATACCAACAAGACTTAGAAGACTAATCATGATTGGCTGACAGAAAATACAATATTAGAAATGAAAAATTATAATAAATATTAATATTTTTTTTACTCCTGTGATGTTCTTAAATATTCCATTTCCTTGTCATGGAAAATTTGCTTACCTGTTATAAACAATTTTTTATTAATTTTTAAATTGATTGTTTTAGAAATTGCTTTAAGACTTACTATAAATATAGTTGAAATCTTTAGCCTATCCATTTAATAACAGGTTTTTTAGAGAAATGAAGTTTAGCATTTGTTTTTTGAAAATTTGTTGAGGGGTATGGTGAAAAAACCTTCCCTAGCACTAGGTTTACAGACTTGTTTTACATCATTGCTTTTTTACATCACTTTTGGTTTTTTTTAACACCATTATTATTTTTCCTGTTCCAAATTCTTTCTGTTCCCCCTCCCCCATGCAACTCACCCACCCTACCCCCCCACACAAATCATACTTAATTTTATTGTGAATTTCTAAAACTGATTTGAACATTAAATTCTTAGGTTGGTTGGAATGGATCCCAACCTATGTTTTATAATGAGCTTCGCAACCTTCAAGCTACTGGACTATCAACTCTTGGGTCAGCTCTCAAGGATAGCTTTGACTTGTTAAACCTTTACCGGCTCACTTCTGGGATTGATAATTATGGGATGGTGAGTCCTTGAGCATCAAATATAGATCTAAAGACAACTTGAATATTCACAGCTGAACTATTTTGTGATTCGTTATATTATATTTTTAACTATGACAGCATTTGTCTGTACCAGGAAATAAACAATCAATCAATCAATCATTGAGGTTTTATGGAAATGTAAAATATATTTTAACCCAGCATCTTTCCAGTAAAATTTATAACTTGTGGTTTTTGTAACAATTAAAGGAAACCAAAAATATGTGGAATATTTTTTGAAAAACATTAATTTACTAAGATAGAGGCTGCATTCTGGTAAAATCAATTAATTGCCAATTACTGAAACCACAATCATTAAACCACAATGACAGCATAATTGCATTTTGCCTAAGCTTGAAAGATTCCTAGAGATTTTGGTTTCTCATGTATATTTTTGGGGTTTATTTCAGGGTCGGAAACCATTTTATTTAGATCCAGCGATTGTAGTTTGTATAACAGATGGTAGTAGTCTTGTGTCAAAGAGTGAGGTTGAAAAAGAGGTGAGTTATTTGGTGATTATAGTCTGACCTATTGAATGCTAATTTGTAAACTACCTATTGTTTATTTGAAGAAGAAAAAATGGCGTAAACTTAAGGAAATGACATTTTAAATAAATCTCTTTTTTTTCAATAATAAAATTAATGCTTAGTTTAGAATTTTTAGCATTTTTCATACTTAATTTGGATATCATGATTAAAAATCATCGTCATTACCATAATCTGGAAAACATGGCTTCATTAATACATATAAAACTCTAAAAATATACCTATTCATAGGAAGTAATGGATTATAATATTATGATAAATATTTTATAATCGTTTCAGCTTCATCTGCCCATGCATAGCAACTTACCAGGAAGTGACCTTACAAAAGAACCTTTCCGATGGGACCAGAGATTATTTGGTTTAGTTTTAAGAATGGCTGGATGCCGAGGAGGACCACAGACAAAGGGAGCTAATGCTATGTTAAGCACTGAACCCGCTCTTGCAGCCATGTGTGAAGTTACTGGAGGTAATTGCACAATATTCTAATAGATAACCTTTTTGCTCATAAATTATTTTTTGTTAATTCTATTAATATTGGTCTTGTTATATTTTTATGTTATTGATGTCTTTAGGCAAAGCTCTTCTATTTTTAATAGTGAGCAATAGAGGGATTTTATTACAAAGTTATTAATGCAAATAAATAATCATATTGTTTTAGGGGTTGGTCCAAGGATGGTGAAGAGGGCGGTTCACCACCCCTCCATTCTCAATACAAATACACCAATCCTGGCTTTGCTTAAATGACCACAAAACAATGGGTAGTTTTCACAATAGAGTATATATAAATTGTGTATGATCAAAAAAACTTGAATTCAGGAAGTTTTTTAGTTCCAAATTTTTTCATTTTCAGTGTACCTTTAGAATGCATTGATTTTAAGACAGACATTTACAATTTTCAGCAATCGGTGTCTGTTCCATACTGTGTATCAAAAATGCATTTTAGTTTGTCTGTTGAGCAACAGTAACTAGGGAGATAGAACATTGAATTCGGCATTATTGTTGTATCCTACAGTCATTACTGAAAATAAATATTTGGCTATCGTAAAAATATATGGTATTAGGTTTTAATCTACCCAATTCTCAGCACACTCTCTTGAAGAGTAAAACTGATGCAAAATAATAAAAAAATCTTGAAATTAAATCTCATCCTAACCCTTTCTAAAGAAATATGTGTGCCTGATTGATTTTCATGAAAATTTACTTTTAATTTTGATAGGAAAGTGCTACAAGGCATCATCATCAAAGTCTTTAGGTCAAGCCTTGGAATCTATCGTACAGAAGATCCAATGTGGTATTGTCGTTAACTTTGAGAAGATCGGAGGTCCAGATCCATCACCACCGATCCCAGCTGAAGGTAGTTAAGAGAATCGCATTAGCACTTATGTTTCTTTACCCTAATGTCTATAGACACTATGTCGTTTAGTTTGTTGGCTTCTGTTCAAGTTAAAACCAGTAAAAACCAGACATCTAGAATAATTTGCCAAGGATAAAAAGACAATGAAAATATCTTTGGTAGATAGACACAATCAACACCAAATTACTTCAAATTTTCTGTTTGCCTAGAAAAATAAATTGTTCATTTTAATAGTTCTGCTAAAATAAGTAATAGTTTTATGGTAAATTGATTTTACTGAAAGAGTGCCAATAGGAGTTACAACAAATATCTTAGTCAGCATTGTAAAACCACTGGATTTGCATTATACTCAAGAAAGCAAAGGTGGAATGCACTGCTAATGCGCTTCCTCTAACCAATGTAACCTGGGCTCAATTCCCTGGGTTGGTGTCATGCGAGTAGAGTTGTTCATTGGTTCTCTCCTGTGCTTCAAATGTTTTTTCCAAATTCTCTAGTTTTCCTCCCTCCTCAGAAATCCACGTCTATTATTCTAATTTGACCTTCAGGATTTTACCTACTGTAGTTTGGAGCCTAATAGCTCTGTAGTGCTGTAGTGATTGTCTCATGCTGCCTGTGATACAACAGCCAAAGCTTCTTAGATTTTTTAGACTTTTTAATTTCTTCACAGTTTAATGAAAGAGTGATGACCCCAGGTCATTTTAAATGGGAATTTAATGATATTTTTGTTTTATTTCACAGGTCCAAAAAATAATATATTAAGAGAAACAGACTCACCCACTCCTCCTCCGATTATCGATGGTCATAATCATATTGGAAACAATGTAGATGCTTCAGGAGAACAGATGAGAAATAGACAAGTGAATTCTGAAAACCATCAACCAATCAAAACAGAAGGACTATCAACAAGGTCTGTAAATTTTGTACTTCTAGGTCCTACCCCTAGTAAATATAATAGTTCAGCTATGGTGTAGGTTTAGTTTTGGCTTTATTTACTGTCTAATACTATTCCCACCCCACCTTACCCCACCTGTATTTCTTAGCCATATGTTTTAAAGCAAAATCCACTTCCAGAGATGTATTTGAGATCTTACTCATTCAGTACTCATTTTGGCAATTCCACATGATCCCATAATTTTACTCTTTCATAATTACATTTGAAAAAAATACATCTCAAGACTTTCATTGGTCTGAATATTTTTTGATTGACAGAAGACAAAAACCAAGATAAAAAAATAAAAAATAAATGTGATTGCGGTGAAATTCCAAATAAAACTAGATTTCTTTTACAGTGGAACAGTTACTCCATCTTTGACCCCTCGTGGTGACTCCTTGGCTGCCCCTCCTGTTGTGAATGGCCTTGCAGAGGAAGGCTTAATATCTAATGGAATATCAAGATCTGCTACTGCTTCTCCGATACCTCAGATTTCTCAGCCTGCTTCGTGGACAAGCTGTTGTAAAATGATCTACATCAAAGCAAATATGGAGAAGGATAGCTTACCAACAGGTTATTGGCCGATTCCTGAGACATTTTGGCCAGATCCTGCAATGCCAAAACTYGTAAGTATGAAACATGTATCAGTGAAATTCATCATTGCCGACAACACTACTGCCATCATTTAAACTGTCACCACCATAACATTGTTTCGCCACACCAATGTCATCATCTTCATCATCATCATTGTCACCTCCATCATCATATCATAATATCAACATAACTTACAAACATCATCATCTTCATCACCACCGTCATCGATTAGCAACATAGTTTTGGGACAAACGTATATTAAATTCTATGGCAGAAAAAAAACATAACTTTTTACAATAATTATTAAAATGTATGTAAAAATTAATGAAATATGTTTTTCCTTCTTTGCTAGGCTCCAAGAGATGCACAGCCTAAAATTTTGTTCAACTGTGAAGATTCAGAACCACAAGTTCTAGAAAATTTTCCCTTTGATAAGTACGAACTGGAACCATCACCTCTAACACAGTATATCTTAGAGAGAAAGTCACCTTCAACATGTTGGCAGGTAAGATCTTTGTAACCTTATGTAAGAGAATCAAGAGTTGTTGCGTAGCTCTAGTGCACACATGTTATAATTAGCTGACGTTATTGGTAGGTTTCTACCTTGATCTGAGGGATTTTTTTGGTTTTCTACGTATACTCTGCAAACTAAACATGGTGAGATTTCAATCTCAAATTAGTTCTGCCTGGACTTAGGACTACCTCATCAACTATAATGATCCTTTGCATGCATTCCCTGAGATTGCCCAGTTTTTCTGTTGAATACCATATGATGTTGGTGCGAGGTTATCCCAGTATTTCATAATATACATCCAACTTACTTAATTTTTTTAACGGTTGTTTTCTAGACATTTATTTACAACAGTGGAAGAAAGAATGGAGAGGTTGGTTCATTAGGTTGTACATTTGGATATCTTAAAGCCAGCACAAACTTACAAGCTGTCAATCTCTTTGTAATGCCCTACAACTACCCAGTACTTTTCCCTCTTCTTGGTAAGTACCTCGAACCTCTAACACTCTGGGTCTTAAAAAGAAATGATATACAGCATCATAATTTACAGAGTCGATCAGAATTTTCATTTCCTTGCATCTTTTTGTTCCCAAATTTGTGGTCTTGTACCGCAGTTCATGCTGGTGATGTCAGTTCATTTAAGACTTGGAGCATGTCTTTTTTAGAGGTTTGAATGAATGGTGTTTTTCATTTTATAATGTTTGTTAGAGAGTACTCTTGCAGTCCTGTTGCTTATGTTTCCACCCCAAGCTGACCTAACAATTAATGTACCCAAAAGCACTCAATCTATAAGAAAAAACCCAAAAGTATTCAGGGCTTCTAAATTAGGTTTTCTTTCAAACTTATGTCGTGACTCATCAATGCACAACAACTTGAAATATAAAGTGAATGAGAACAAACTGTTTATGATTTTCGAAATTTACCATCAATGTTATTATAGTATAATTTAGCAGGATCTGACAATTCAATGATCTTAAGAAGGGACTTTAAAAGACTAAGTTAGAAACTTCCTAGCAATTGTCTGTGAGGAGATTGCAGTATTTAATAGCTGCAACATAACATTTTGGGGTGCAATTCCTAAGAGCAGGACTGCATGTATCTCAAGTTATGGGTTACTATAAATGACAATATATGGTTGCTATAAATGACAATATTGATGAGAACACTGGTTTATAAACACTTATAAAACTCTGCAGGAAGCTTTTGATGAGCTTCTGTTGATGGACAATGGCTATCATCCACTGCTTCATGTTGTTCCTCTACATAAACAATAGAGAGGTTGGTTTGTAAACCTTCAGTCTTCCTGCTTAATCCATGCACAGTCTGTAACTTATTTTTAACTGGATCGTGCATGGACATAATTGGGGTTATTGCTGTGTCAAGGAGCAATACTTGCTCTAAACATGTTTCTAATGGAACTAAGATTGAGTAATCAACCCATTAGAAGTCCAAAGCTTTTGCTCTTGAACTCAGCTGACAAGAATTCCAGGGGTTAATAATGCCATTTGCTCACAACCATGGGGGTCTCATGGCTGGTTTTGTCATATAACGAAGGGGGAAGAATGAGATACCAGTATGTAACGAAAAGATGTCAGTATATGCTGTTGTAAGGAGAAATGCAATTCCTTGTTTTGGCATTGACTTTAGCCATTCTACGAAAGCAGTAAAACCAACCAATAGGGCTTAATTCATGTCAATGCAGCAGCCATATTTAATCTCATAAAAATTAAATTCTTTCTTTCTGCTCATGAAAACTCTCCCAGAAGCACCTGAATGGAACTCGAATGTAAGGCTAACGGGGCTAAAATCTATTGTTCCAGCCGACATGGCTGCAGCGTGAGAAAGGTCTATTTCTTTTGTTTTCCATCTTGTCTATTGCAGCTGTATTCATGAAATATGTTTATCTTTATTTACCTTCTTCATAGATGAACTTGTAAAATTACACAAGATCAAACCAGTGCCAAAGTGGAAGCAGGCATTTGATGCATACCTGTTGACTGTGCCAAGTTATTATGCTGCAGTAAGTATTACTACTGGTAACAATATTTAATTTGATTTATTCAACTTGGATAGATTGAATTAGAATTTGGAAGTGGATTTTTGTGGAGGGAGGAAAACTGGAGAACCTATAGAAAACCCCTCAAAGCATCACAGAGAACAACTACCGTAGCTACCGACATACACCACTTAGCCCAGCAGGTCTCTAACCCAGTTGCAATGGTGAGAGGCAAGTGAGGTTACCACTAGGCCACCTGTACTTCCCAGTGTGGGTGGTTGGTTAGTTGATGGTTTGCAAGTACTCCCAAGCATTAGTGAAGTGGAAACACTTTATTGAAAATATTAAGTTTAATCTGACCAGTGTGATTGCACAGATACTTATTGGTATATATTTTTGGTATCCGGTCATTCCACCTGAGAGTAGATCTGCCCAGACTTTAGCTCGATCCACCAATGTATATTATAGTGTAGTTAATAACTCTATTAGAAATAAAAATAAACTGTTAATAATGTTATCAATCTAGCCGCTGCGTAATGCATTCAAGAGAATGGGAATACCAACTTCTTTGATCCCTGATCACATGGATGGAGCACTCAGTTTTCAGATTATTAATTACCTGAAGAGTGTCAAGCAAAAGGTATCTTATTTTATATCTTTGTTTTTATATCATGAAATCAGTGGGTCGTCCTTCACGAATTTGCAAGATGTGATCCTATTGGAGGGCGCACATGTGTAGAATAATAGAAAACAATGACCTTTCCCCCACCCTGCCCCTAAACCTAACCAATCACAGGGGATGTTGCAAATTTGTGAAGCCTAACCCAAATCAGTGAGAGTTTTCATCAAAAATCAAGTCACCTTTTTTCAGTTTTTAGAAAATGTGTTAAAACTTTTATTTATTTTTTATTATTTTCTATTGTCTTTTTTATTTTTATATCACAACATAAGTCAATTTTTTTTAAAATTAAGTCATCATTTTGTTTTCAATGAAATTAAGTCACCATTTTTTCAGTTTTTGGAAAATGTGTGAATTTTTTAAAATTATTATTCTTTTAAGGCTGCATTCATGATGTATGGCAAAGGGAAGGCAGGTGAAATCTTTAAATGACAAAAAAATTCTTAGGACCCCCCTTGAAGTCCCCCYAAAAAATGACTATCCCCTGGACAATCTCTCCTAGGTTCTTCTAAAAATTTTGCATCCCCCTCCCAATTCTCATTAAAAAATTTTCAAACCCCCCCATTTAACTGGTAAAAATGTTCCCGATCCCTTCTAAATTTCACCTGCCCCCCCTGCCATACATTATGAATGCAGCCTAAATATATATCGTAACATAAGTTAATATTTTTAATAATAAACTTAAGTCACCAATATTTTTCCAGTTCTTGGAAAATGTATTCAAAGAAATTTTACATGTTTGAAAAGTAAATTTAGGCTTTTATATTATAATGCATCTTCCTTTTTGTCATGTTATTCTTAGACTCYTTAATTGATTTTTTAAAATTAATTTGCACTACATTGAATGATTAAGAAAGAATATGTCACATTTGAAGAAGGAATTAAGTGTAGAAAAAGCAATTTGCTACCATTCACTTTGTTTTATACATCCTAATTCATTCAGATCTCAAATTAAAAATGCTATTTTCAGGATCTAAAATTTATTTAGAAAATCGAATGCTGAAAAAACTTGTGGGTTTTTTAACAATTTTACGTGCAAATAAAATACATCATTTCTGGCATTTTCTTTTGTGAAAATCTTGTGATGGATATAATGAGCATGACTGAAAATAAAAATGAATTGATAAAAGAAAAATATTTCTAAAGAAAGTAAATAGGAAAAGGTTGACCTGCAGAAAAAAATTTGACCAGATTTTTTTTTCTAACAGCAAAACAGAAATTTAAGATTTTGAAAAGAAATTGTGCTTGTGCRAATCTTAAGCTGATTTCACACAAAAAAGCGCACAAAGATTTTAAATAAGATATTAATCAACAATACAGGTTAAAGATAAATAAAAGAATTGTTTTATTCTTTGAATAGCTGGTGCTCGTATGACTCTGTCAATTTTTAACTCCTATTTATTTCCTTTCTTTTTCCTCTCTTTTTTCCAGAGTAAAATAGAGGCAAAGCGCTTTGAATCACTCATGGGTAAAAATTCTTCAAGGGAAATCAAACACAAGTTCATCCCAAGGTAATGAGTTTCCACTTTTATTTTTTGAATAAATAGATATATGAATAAAAAAAATTTTTCACAACATAACTCCTACCTATAAATTCCAAATTGTACTTGATATCGTACGATTTCCTATACTAATTGTGATCCAACTTTGAAGCAAACATATTTTTTATGACTTATATGATGTTGTTTGTACCCAAGCTAGACCAGTATGCAACCAGCAATATGTTATAGCAGTGTTAAGTTACAGCAAAATGTTCTCAACATCTGAATATAATACATTATTATTCCAGTATTCAAACACCTGAGCTGCCTTCAACCGAGAGAAAAGATTATCACTCTCTTCTAAACCACACAGCAACCAGAGAAAATAGTAAAAACCCAAGGAAAAGGTAAATTGAAATATGGAAACTCTTCAAACTTGTGTCTATAATAGCGAGCATCCACAATAGCAAGAGTATTTAYGGTCATTTCTTAGTCAGAATGTTTTTGCTGGACATTTTGCTCCATTCTGTGTAGCAAGGTGCCTGTAACATTTTGGTTTTTGCGTGGCAAGAGTTGACTGCATGTATTGGTTGCCAAAGTCCTCATAGTCATGAACATTTTTTATACAGTAAACTTTCCAAATGTGCCTTAAAAAAAGAAAATTCACTTTTCTAGACTCAATTTTATATTTTATTAATGGCTGTAAAAACAACAATAGCCAACGTGCATGAGCATGAATCTCCAGCAAAAAGCATGATGGTAAACCGAGTACTTGCACTTTTTCAGCTCCTCTAAAAATTCCTCTGACAATTTTTCCTTCAACATTTTCTATGAAACTTTAAGTATTTGAACAGACAAAAATAACAGAGTAGTTTTTTTCTGATAACTCTATATTCATGCTCATGCACATTGGCTATTACATTCAATAATCATTTGTTTATTTTTGACAATTTTCTTTTTTTTTTTTTGTTAGTGGTAATGACATAAACACAAATGAAGTTGTCCAAGCGATGAAAGAACCCAATGTATGTGATAATCATTATTTTTCATGGTATTATTTCAATGCGTATATTTCAAATAAGTGCATATTTTGCTATGTAAGTGACGAAACGTCTGCATTCATTTCAGGGAACCCAGCGGCAATGTTACAAGAATCCCTATGACATTAACAGAGGTGAACTTCTTGATCAGCTCTCACGGATGAGAATCAATTTCTTTCACATGGCAACTACTTCCACCATACTACAAGAGGAAGGTACAGACTATAGATTAAGCCCCAAGGGATAGGAATAGAGTGGAGGTCTCAAAAAGGGGTCAAAACCAAGAAAGAAAGAAAGATTTGTGTTAGCAAAAGGGGAATAGATGCATTTCTTGTGATGTCAAAACAGCTCAATTTGAAGGACAAAAAAAAGAATTTTAATTTTATGAAAATTGGAAACCTATTATTATGTCCTTGAAATTGAGCTGCATTCTGACGTGCTGCAAGGGGTATATAAAGGGTGGTGTAACAGTAGTACACTGGAGTCTCATTCCTTTGGTCTCGGGTTCTTTACCTGAAATTGGCAAGTAAGTAGAGTTTATTAGGTCTATCCCTTCAGGGTTTTTCCTCCAGGTACTTCAATCTATTTTCAATGCTTTTTCCGTAAGCTTTTTTCCTCTAATAATTTTCAAATTTCATGCCTTCATATTTGTTAATGTTATTGTATTTAATGTATTTGTAATTTTATTTTAGATGCAAGGCACAGCATTGCTATTTCCGAGATGGGAAATTATGGTAAAGTCCTTCGTCAGGGAAACCAGTTACGAGAAGTTGACCCAGGGCAAAACAGAGCACATATGTTTGGTAATCCATACAAGTTGGCCAAGGACCAGGTATAATAAATAATTTTGTCTTAAAAGAACACTTGGATCATAAACTAGTTCTAGTTTCCAAGTTGACATCCTGTAGGTAGCAACCTCTTGGTGAATAGGATTGTGTGGTACCCCTGTAGAATGTGTAGGTCCAGAAATTATCAAATTATCCATACCCCACATAGGAATGTTTTTCACCCCCCCCCCCCCCCCCCCCACAGAAATTCCAATTTTCTTTCATACAAACTCTGTAATTTTGTTCTTTCTCTAACTCCACCCCTCAGAAATTCCAAATTCCTACCCTGTGGGGGAGGATGTATGGATTATTTCTGGAACTGCAATCTCACGTCTCGAATTCAGCCCTACCAATCTTACTTTAAAACTTTCCAAATGCTTTGTATGGACTATTTCGTACAAGAAAGCTTTGTGTTGTGCCTTGTGGAATAAAATTTTCATCTGAGATACAGATGAACTAATAAATAATTTCTTTTGTAACAGCGTGTGATGGTCGATGAAGCTGATGTTAACGAGGCTGCAAAAAGAAAACGACCAGACACTCCACCAGTAAAATGGCCGACGTCCATACACCACGACGCCCCAAGTCCTGTCCACCATCATTACCAAGAACAACAAGAAACACTTACCGACAAACCCATCATAAATAAAGAAAACAAAGACATGTTAACAAATGACATTAAACCTAACAATATCACTCCACACCAAAGAAAAAGAAAACCATCGGAGGATATATCCGAAGGTGGAGCCAAACCAGCAAAAGCTGCTAAACATCACATACACCCACAGCTAAAGAAACTTCAACGGCTTCATCAAATAAAAGGACAGTTACCGAAAAAGGGACAAGTCTTGAGCAACTCGACAGACTTAGGAAAGAATTCTTGTTTGAATAATGTGGACAGAAAGCAGGATGTTTCAGATATTTCATCAATTTTAAGAACTGCTTTGTCTTCTAAAGATAAAGGTGACGAAAAGGAACCCTTGCAAGTGACTAATAATATTGATGGATTATTACAAATGGACAATAGAACTAGTCAAAATAGTACTCCTAGTTCGTCTCCTAGTCTGGTATCACAGCGACAGCTTATGCGAGAAGCGCATGAAGAAAACACACAGATTAGGACAGCGATATTTAAAGAACTGAGAAAACATGAAAAAGGTAAATGATCCTTTCTCTTTCTTTCTCATTCTTTCTTTCTTTTCTGGTTTGTTTTTTCTTTCTTTCTTTTCTGGTTTGTTTTTTCTTTCTTTCTTTCTTTCCATCCTTTTATTTTATTTCTTCATTCATCAGGCTTCATTTTTCTTTGTGTTATTCACTTATGTATTTGTTCTTCCATTCATTCACACTTTTTTTAATTCAAATATTTGCATTTCAAGCCTACTTTAGAGGAGTCTTACTCTTATCTAATTAGCCAATCGAAAGTGGGAATCTAAAAAATAGAATTGCTACAAATCAGACAAATATCCATGGGTTTACACAGTTTAGACTGCCGGTGAATTTGTTGTCAAAAATAAACGTACTGTCACATAGCAACATGGTGATAAGATCTAACAGTGTCAGCCTAATAATATTGTTTTCTGGAAGAAACAAACTGTAATCATGAAGACTGTGTATTATACAATGTCAAATTTTCTGTCCTTTTCTTTTAATTTTATGACCAAGTAGTAATAAATATTTTTGTTGTTGTTGTTGCAGTCAATGATGAGGTACTTGCACAACTAGGGAACCTCAAAGGTCCAGTGGAATTACAATGCTCATACCTCAATGAAATAATTGAGGAATCTTTGCTTTTTAAAAAGAAAATACTAGTCACCAAACTGACAACTTTACTCAAAAAGCTTCAAGCTGGGATGTCACCAAACAACTGCACAGATGTATTGCAATCAAGATGACAAAAAAAATGACACATTCAACGTGATAGAATTTGTAATAGAATGATTTGTATTTTGACCACTGCGTGGCAGGAATAGTTTTCACCTCAATGTACAAATATAAATATGTACATAAATATTTCTATTACAAAGATATTGATAAAGTGTACATGTGTAAAGAGATTTGTAAGAAAAAGTTTAAGTTGAATAATTGTATATTGCTGTTCTCATGCGAGAAAGTGTTTTACAGAAACATTTTGTGGTAAAAGTTCAAGACAATTTTGTCTTTTCAAGGAAAACATTGAAAATAAATCTTGAATTTCCTATAAACCTTTTTTGCTCATTATAATTCCCACCAGGCCATAACTAACCCTTCAGGTCTTCTTAAAGGCTAGTTTAGACGGTAGGATTTTCACCTACAACTATCGTATACAACACACTCGCATCTGTCGTGACGAGTTGTAGGCTTGATTTACATGCTACGACTCGAATTGTAGGATGGCGCGAGCGTGTTGTATACGATAGTTGTAGGAGAAAATCATACCGTCTAAACCGGCCTTTACCCTTCCTAATTCTATTTATTTATTTTAACAATATTTATACAGGCATGTCTCATTTAGCAGAGCTAGTTTAAAGAGAGCCCTGTTCAAAAAAGGAAAGAAATATATACATAGACATTAATTAACATGGTGGATGCTAATGGTAAGAGTATAACCAAGTCTGTATGTGTATATTGCTTACGCTCGTTTGTGGGAAAAGCATGAAGCAAAACTCCAAAACAAATTACACCATGCACAATACTAGCCTCATGAAACATGTTTGGCAAGGAGAGTCAATAAGTTCTAGTCAAGATTCAGATAAAAGTTTTAATATATACCAGGGGCCCAACCAACAGGACACTACTTGTGGTAGACCAAGTCTGTGGTCTTTTTATCATTCTGTTGAACTCGGCATTACAGACAATGTTTGAAAATATTGCAAAATCACACTTTACAGCCTGTTTTATGTTTTTGCAATCTAAACTACTCCAGATGCCTAGCATTTTGGCTTCTGTCAATCAAATCCAAAATGGGCCAAGTGCATTCCTAGTCATTCTGATATATTGCCAGTGATAAATATTCCCACAACTCGACAGCCAGCATTTTCCCATGGGAAATAGACTATTGAGTCAGGAACATTAATATTTCATGATCATATATTTGGCCCGTTGCAAATTTGATTGAGGGAGGCCAAAATACCAAATTCTGGTATTTATATTAAATTTTCCACATGAAATTATCTCCAAGTATGCTCCCAGCATCTCATATGAGAATACAAGTCAAAAGCATAGTCATAGGACACCACAGGCAATTCATCTTTCTCATCAACTCCATTAAAGTCAAACTTTGCACTTTCCTCCTCAAAATCTTCAGAATAGAAGTCCATTATTTGAGGCTCAACTTCAGGTCCCTTCCCAGGTTTGACTGCACAAGGGGCCCTCTGCAGGGCATGGGAGCTGATAATGTCCCTAGGAACCACATCCAGTGAGATCAAATCAGTATACTTATTCTTGTCCCTCTTGATATTTACAGCTTGAGCAACTTTTTCAACAAAGTTGGTTCTTGCAGCTTCAGAATTCTCGAGCTCTTCGGCTATTGCTATGGCAGGGTTGAATTTGTTTTTCTGGAGGTCTTGGAGCTTGCTGCTAATTCTTGCTGAAGAGTTGATGATTGGACGCTCAAGACTGAAGGTAAAAGGGGACTTTAAAAAAATCAATTTACTACTAGGTGTACTACGACATATATAAATATCCAAAACATAAGAATAACTTAGTCAAAATTACGAAAATCTGAGAGCTTCAAGGTGTAGATAAGCTAACATAAGAATACTAATTACTATAAACGGCAATCTTCAAACAGGTTTCCTCCGATAACTAGCTAAAACGTGCTTTGAAAGCCAAATTTCAACACTATTTTTCGATAGTAGCATTCAATAACTCCTTGCTATATCTGTCATGGTATCAATTCAGACATACCTTTGATAATTCCCGTCGTTCTCATGGTTTTCTACCAACACAGCTTGTTTTACTACAGCATTCACTCGAGATTCCCTCGCTTGTTTTGGTCGACTTTTCTCAGGAGTTAAATTTAATTGAGAGCTGAAAATGGCACCAACTTGAGCGGGTCTTTCTGTTGGCTTGGGTGCAATTCTGATAACGTCCTCATTCATGGTCTCCCTCCCCTGTTTTATCTATTGCTTCGCGATAACTTTGATCCAACTTGTTTTCAGACGGACGAGTTCAACTTCGCCCGCCATTTTGAACAACTTTAGTACCCATACTTATTGGTCGCGCGGTCAAAATAACCAAAGGTATCCCGTGACTACGTCTATCAAAAAAAATTTGCTAATCTAAATTTTATTTCAAAAGTTAAAAAACATACATTTTCTTACAATTTATGAGTGTTGGGTTTTGAAGTCATGGATGAAGCCTTTTTTCTATGGAAACTCTTTTTATTTCATGGAAGCAACTGATATAGGGCAATTATTTACAAGTGCATTTGTAAGGCAGGTGTTCCGAAAAACATATCTGATATGGAGTCGTCCTTGGTGTCTCTGCATTATGATACTTCGTAGATTTACTTGGTAGTGTTTCTCCTAATCGTATCTTCGATAAATGGCAAGATTCTTCTGACATCAAGGTAAACTCCATACTT